GACTCCAGGGCCTGCTCCTCCAAGGCTGGTCACATTCAAGAGCGATCTCCAACCAGCCTATCTTCCCAGCCCTGCTCCACACCCTGGCTGGAGATCCTGTTTCCTCACTCATGGCTCCCACCTTCCTCTCATCAACCTCACCCCAAACCACATTCTGGCTTCAGACTCAGGTGTTTTCCTGGCTTCCCAGAACCTCTTATCCCTTGCTGGATGGGATATTTCTTGATGTTTCGACTATTAAACTTTGTGCTTTAGCTCCCTGTAAGCAAGCCCCAGACCTGCTGGACCAGATTTATGGCCCCTGCTAGGGAAGGGAGGCAAGGGGGTTTCTGTAGTGGGGAAACAAAGCCATGTCAGTGTTTACCACAGAAGAATGTGTGAAGACATTATTTTTATGACTGTTTTAAATGTACAGACAAATCAAGAAGCTACTACAGAGTTCCCACATACCTCATTCCCAGTTTGCCCTGTTATTAGCATCTTACATGTTAATGTGTTTTTAAATGTTTTATTTAGGGGCGCCTGGCTGGCTCAGTCATTAAGTGTCTGCCTTCAGCTCAGGTCATGGTCCCAGAGTCCTGGGATCGAGCCCCGCATCGGGCTCCCCACTCGGCGGAAAGCCTGCTTCTCCCTCTCCCACTCCCCCCTGCTTGTGTTCCTTCTCTCGCTGTGTCTCTCTCTGTCAAATAAATAAATAAAATCTTTAAAAAAATAAAATAAATGTTTTAATTAATTAATTAATTTATGTATTTATTTATTTTTAGAGAGAGAGCATGCATGCAAGCAGGGGGTGTGGGGTGGGGGAGAAGGAGAGAGAGAATCCCAAGCAGGTTCCATGATCAGAGTGGAGCCCAACACAGGGCTCGATCTCACGACCCTGAGATCATGACCTGAGCCAAAATCAAGAGGTGGATGCTTAACTGACTGAGCCACCCAGGCATCCCCTTACATGTTAATGTATGGTACATTTGTTACCATTAATGCACTAATATTGATAAATCACTGCTAAGTAAAGTCCATACTTAATGCAGATTTCCTTAGTTTTTCTGTCCCAGGATACATCCGGCATACCATGATACGTTTAAGATTTTATTTTTTGATCCCAGGGTCCTGAGACCAAGCCCTGTGTCCCACTTCCTGCTCAGCAGGGAGTCTGCTTCTAGCTCTCCCTCTGCCCCTCCCCCTCTTGTGCACGCGTGCACGCACGTTCTCTCTCTCTCTCTCTCGCTCATTCTCTCTCAAATAAATCTTTTTTAAAAAAGATTTTATTTTTAAGTCTTCTCTATACTCAATGTGGGGCTTGAACTCACGACCCCAAGATCAAGGGTCACATGCTCTGCAGACTGAGCCAGGCAGGCGCCCCATACCACAATACATTTAATTGTCATGTCTCCTAATCTCCTCTTTGCAGTAATAGTTTCTCAGCATATCCTGGTTTTGATGACCTTGATCGCTTTGAGGAGGTACTGCTCAGGTATTTGGTAAGATGCCTTTCCATTGGAATCTGATATGCACAGAAGGAATTTAATGCAGGGGATTGCTCACACAGGTGGTAGAGGATCTGAGATGCAAACAGGGGAAAGTGAAGCTACCCAAAGGCTCATTTCAGCAGAAAGCCATTAACATTCTGAGACGGAAACAGGGGAAGGTGAAGTTACCCAAAGACTCATTTCAGCAGAAAGTCATTAACATTCCTAAGCTGGGATGTTAGCAGAATGTGGCAGGGTTACCCAAGCCAGGAGTTGGGGTCACCTGGCAGAAGCCTCAGCCAGTTGCCGCCACTGTGGCAGATGCCTTCAGAGGCAAGAAGTAGGTGAAGAAATTCTTTATCTTCTTTTTCTTTTTTAAGATTTTATTTATTTATTTGAGAGAGAGAGAGCCCGAGCATGAGCGGGGGAGGGGAAGGAGCAGAAGGAGAGGGAGAAGCAGACTCCCCACTGACCCTGAGATCATGACCTGAGTCAAAACCAAGAATCAGATGCTTAACTGACTGAGCCCCCCAGGCGCCCCAATTCTTTATCTTCTTTCCTCCCAACCTCCACTCTTCTTTCAGTACCTCTTGTTGACCATACCTCACGGTTAACCAGCCGACCCAGGAGTCTGTGAACTCAGGCTGCAAATCTGGTCCTCGCTGTGCAGAGCAGAGGGCGCCCCTGAGAATGGCTCTAAAGACAAAGTGGCCCATGACTGGGACAGTTGGCCTTTGAACCCATAGCACCTGAGATGTGGTTTTACTATAGCACTAGCACCTCTGTTGTGCAATGTTTGCCTGAGCTTGGGCTCCAAATGATGATGAGGGCCATGAGGGCATTATTTTTTATACCCAGAGCCTAGAATAGTACCTTGATCATATTAGGTTTTCAACGTGTGAGGTATACACAATTGAATGAATGAGTGAATGAATAAATGAATGAATGAATGACAGTTTCTTTGGACCAGTACCTCTTTTGGGATGCTCTAGCTTTGAGGAATTGCTCAGCACCAGCATGTCTTTTCAGCTTCTCACAACCTCCTATTGCTGCTAAGATTACTCTGAGCCTCGCATTTGCAACATTTGAAGGCCATGTGGACCGTGTGACTACAAACTAATTAGACCAGTTTTCAACAAAGGGATCTAATTAATTCATCAAGTAAGTAAGTAAGTTTTACATTAATCCTTCCGAGTTGTTGCTCAAGAAGGTCATCTGCATCTTCCAACGATGCTGCTATGCCCAGCCTCTTCCTCAGGAGCTGCCCAAGGAAAGGAATGCATAATTTTTCAGAATAAAATGCCTCTGTCTTTTCAGCTAAATGTCACCCAGCCCTCACCTGCTGGTATTTAAGTGGGTGGGACACATCATCAGAGAAGTTACATTTCCTTGCAGCCGAGGGGAGGAGGCAGTGGACCGCCACAAACGGAACTGAATGTGGCTTTCCCATGGGTGCAGGAGGGGTAGAGAAGTCACACCCGGGTGTCACCAGGTCTGGGCCAGGACGCGTTCGATCTCACTAATAGGACACCTGGTCTCTGAGACACCTGAGGTCCCGGATTTTTCAAGGACGGTCAGTGCCGAGACTGCACATAGAAAACCAAGTTCCACTTGCGAGAACCTCACTCCTCTGTATGCCAAGCGGATCTCAGTCTCTGATAAGAAGCAAAGGTGCCTAGGTCGTGGGAGCATTTCTCAGCCCCAGCGTTTTCCAGTTTTCTGCCTACCCTGGACAGGGTGCGCTGGACAGCCACGGGACAGAAATCTGACCAGCCAGCGTTCTCATTTAGCAGAGACTAAAATATTTTCAACTACCCTCTTGTTTCCATTCTGGTTAATTGCTCTTCTAATACAGGTAAGAAATGGTGGCTGCAGAAACCTTTGCATTTTGGTTTCCGATACTTCCTTTAGTGCTTAATGGGGAAATCACTGGGAGGGCAGGTGGCGCACTTGGGAAAGCAGCGGTTGTTAGAAATGTTGGGGACTGAGGTTGAGACCCCAGCTCCTCCACATGCCAGCTGTGTGATTTCGGACAAGTCGCTTTATCCTTCAGGACTTCCACTGTCTCGTTTGAAAATCGGGGATTAAAATGTCTATTTTATCACAGAGGTGTGGTAAAGATCACCTGCGATGTACGTGCAAGTACTTTGAGGATCTAACAAGTGTAACGTATTACAACTATTTTTTTGCGTGGACATAAGGCAGCAGAAAAGGTGTCTTTGATGTTTAATTAATACTAAAAATCTTCCATTACATTTATTTGCTCTAATTGGGAAGGAAGGAGGTGGGCACGAGTAATTTTCAAAGGGACTTTTTCTGCTCCAGAAATAGAACTCAGAAAACACGTATTTGATTTTCCTTTTGGTGTCAAACCACAGCACCGTTGTTATTAGCAGTTTTACAGAATTGTGACCTTCAAACTTGGTGATATCAATGACTGAAAGCAAGCTCCCAGTCCTGAAGCCTTTCAAACAGGCCCTTCAAACTAAAGCACTTTTATTTTGAATTAAGGGCTAATAGAATTGTCCTCTTAAATGAGCACTTGCAAGTTTAAATGTTGCCTTCCAGGTGGGCTGCAGTAAATGAACATGCTAAGAGGTCGCTGAAAGCTCTTTTGGGGACAATGAGGGGAATCTGTTATAGGGGTTCATCTAACACCCTTTCTGCAGTTAAAAGAGAAACCTAGAACTTACATTTTCCTTATTGGTCATAAGCTGATTTGTGTATACATCTAGGACGATAATTTACTTTCAGTTTACTGAATTTGTGAATTTTCACATTTGTTTTAATTTGTAATTAAGTTTTCTCTATGAGGCACACCATATGCTACCATTAATTCTTTCTCATTGATTTCTTAGGAGATACATGAGTGCATATTTTGATGCAATTTTTGAGGTCTTTTGAAAATCAAATGACTACTTGTTTAGCCATATGGGCCTTTGTTATTTAAAATAGCATACGATAAAGTAAGAGAAAGCAAAGTGCAAGGAGGACCTGTTAGACAACAAAAAATTGGAAGACTGTAAAATACTGCTATAAACACACCAATTTTCAATCTTTTTTTTTTTTTTTTGCCTTATATTTTTGAAATCTGTCTTATGGATCCCCACACTGTCTCTTACCATCTGTGAAGGTACCGAATCACAAGTGCACCAGGCAAACGTACGGAAACCAGTTACTGCCCTATGCTTTACACTGGGGCTGCAGATACTAACATCCGCCTCCAGTGAGTTCAGTTGTAGCCGGCGTGTTTCTTTTAACATCTTACGCCAGGATTTGACACAAGCGCCCGTTCATCCGCACACACGGTGTCCGGTTTTGAAAGGGGCCGGCGGGTTTTTCTGTTTCGCGGGGGACTCCCGGTGCTCCCGAGCTGCCTGCCGTATGTGCGGGCGGCAGACCCGGCCGCGGGCGGGCGGGCGGGCCGGCGGGCGCGCGGCGCGCACTAGGACCCAGCGGGGCTCCGGGCCCGGGTGGGAGCCGCGCCGCCGACCCCGGGCGGGCGCCGGGGCTGGAGCCGGGGTTCCGGCCGCGATCCGCTGCAGCTTGGCCGGGAGACGGCGCGACCCGGCGGCGGGGCCACCGGCGAGTCCAGCGCCGCCTCAGCCCCCCAATGCGGCCCGCGAGAAGCAGCGGGGGGGGGGGGCCGGCGATCGAAGGTAACGAAAATGGGGCTCATTTCCTGCCTCCTGAGCTTCTGCTCTGGCTCAGCATTGTCACGAGAAGCCCTCACTGTTCTGGCTGCTGCATTTTGGGGCACCCTTTGATTTTTTTAAGGTGTCCGCCCCCATATTTCCACCTGGTTTCAGATTGATTTATAGCGTGCAGCCCAAATGGGAAAGATCCAGGGAGAGCAAGTTGAATATTTTCATTAGTTTTGACTCAAAAGTAAGTTCATTTTAAAAAAAGTTTCTCAGGAATTTGTGAATAGCTGTTTAAAAAATTTTCTTTTAAAATAGAAGACAAATGAATAATTTTAAGAAATTATCAAATAATTGATGTAATTCTGTTAATTACCTCCTAGGGCTTTACTTCTGTGGGCTCCCCAGGCGTTACTTTTATGTTCAAGGAACTAACGTGTTAAATGTGGAGTTTGGCTCGGGCAGAGTTTACAGCCTTGCTGTCGCAACTGTTTTGCTATCAATTATAAACAGTGTCAAAGCTGTGGGCAGTTTCAACCTCTTTTCCAGCACTGTAACTGGTTATCCTAATATGACATCTACAGATGAGAGTTTCCTTTGAGGGAAGCAAGAATATTTCTCTTTTCGGAGAAGCGTTGCTTTGAGGAGAAAAACCATGATTCCTGGCTGGGAGGCTGAAGAGACTATTTTTCATGCTTTGTTTATACTCCTGGGATGACATTTGGGGAAGGGCAAGGCAGTCTTTCTCGGCAGCTTTTAATTGCGGGATTATTAATTTACTTAATTTATGAGTTTCAATCCGTGGGGCTCGGGGAGCCCTCTGTCACAGGATGTGCTTAAGGTGACACATTCGCTAGCAGTTGGGACATATGATTGCAAATGTAAAATGTGCCTCCCGTGGACTGGTCTGCTGGGAGCTCCCATGTGGAGCTGTCCTAGGCAGGGTGCTACTGGCTCATTGAGGAAAAAGGGAATCATTTTCCTTAGCTAAGGAAGACATCCTATTATATTCCTTTTGTTCCCTGTTTTTCATTGATCACCAGCTCTGCCTTGAGAGGGGAGAGCAGCTCAGAGTGCAGAGCGGAAGACTGCACAGATGCCTACAAACCACTTCAACTCTCACGCTGATTGGTCAGCTAGATTGAGACTTAGGAAAACAGCCACCCCAAACCTTCTTTTAAAATCCTGCTGTAATTTTCAGATTAGCCTTCTCAGTGCGCAGATTCCTGCAAGATTGCTTTTTAATTTCGGGTGCAATTTTCGTGAGAGAACCTTTATGTTTAATTTTTCGTTGTTGTTTCTAACTGGATAGAGTAGGCCATTTTGGTGACAAATTTCTTTGCAGACGTCAGCTACTAGCTTGCATTTATAGACATATCACTTTACAATACATTCTCCATGATTTCTCCTCAGGAGATGTACGATGCAAAGTTGTTCAACTTAGAATAATTTTTCCTAGGCGGTTTTTGACCCGAATATTTAAATAGCACCATCAGCAGATGGATGTCTAGCTGGATCTTTACTTTGATCATTTAAGTGTCCTGTGCATTAACATGTTTCATGCACTAAATTTAAGTCTGCAACAGTGAAAGAAAAAGGCAATGAAGAGCAAACAATCAAAATCAACTTGCACACTATGATAAGAAATTGTGGCATCTGTTTGGGAGAATGCATTTCACGTCCGAGAAAAGAGGCATTCTTCACCTTATAAGAATACAAATTAGTAAATATTGTGGAATTGTGTATCTATAAGACAAAAATATATATAAGACCCAGGACATCTTTATTTGAGCCTTAAAGCACTTCAATTAAAGAAGCACTATCTCAGAAGTTGTTAAATGGATAAACACTTTTCTGATTGGCTTAAAAATTTAGACACAGGAAGTGGATGGTATCTAATAACCGATGAGTGGAGACATGGTTGTCATGGAAACCGAGAATAGTAACCCCCCCAACACACACATACACTACCATAACCACCACTTAAAAAAAAAAAAAAAACCTGCATGTCATCACAGATGCCTGGAGAACATGTTGGCTTCTGTAAGCTTTCCCACAGCATCTGCTGAAACCCGAGACCATGCCTGTCAAATCAAGGTCATTTTACAACAACAACCAAAAATGCAGTCTCCGGATTTCATAACCGTGTTTTATTAAGCTTATGTGAGGGGAAAAAAAAAAACCTTAAAGCGAGGATGAGCACACGTGCTTACTTAACGGTTGGCTACCTCTGAGTTGTGCAAGGGAAAGCCAAGAAGGTATTTGAGTACTTCATTGTGGAATCAAACTGATTTGTAGGTCCTACTGTTAGAACGAAGCTCTTTTTAGAGCCGTTAAGACTGGAGTGTTGCCCGTGGCTGAAGAGTCACTTGGGGGAGGTATAATGAAGAGTCTATGTTTGCAAGAGGGTTCAAAGTTGAACTGTAGCAATTGAATTCAAAGAACTGGCATTTTGGAACCCTGAACTAAGGCAAATCAACTGGCTGGTGATTTGCAAAGTACAGGGGAGGGTGTTCTCAGTAGCTGAGCAGGGAGAGGAAAGCTCCACTAAGTAGAGCTAAACTGTTTCAAAAACTGCAGTTAGTATTTGATTAACTTAGAAAAGTTTCCCCTTCTTTTGTAGATGAGGAGAGTGCTTTCTAGTTTTAAGTTTTCAAAATCAGAGTTGTGACTATTTCCGATATCTTGGTAATGGTTTCAGTGAGGAGGGGGAAGAAGGGAGAAAAGTTTGGAGACCCTCCCCCTTTTCACTTTGCTGAGTGAAAAATAACCAAGGAGGCCCTCTCCTCAATTTTGACTTGGACGGTCAACGTGGAAGCTTGTAAATATAATGCCAAAGTGTTTCTTATGTTTCTCTAATCTTGTCAGTGGTAGTCTTTAAATTCTAAATTCTTGATATTCATTTAGTAATATCTTCCTTCCAATCATGATTTATAGCAGTGTCTTGCTTTATCTTAATTAAAATTGGTCAGTTTTAAATATTACTTAATTAACACTTTGATCTTTTTGAAAAGCAGCAAATTTTTCTTTGTTTTTATCAACTAATTGCATGGGGTAAGAGAGAAAGTGGAAAGAATCCTGACTGTATTTTAATGTTTACATAACATCCTGCTCCTATGCCATAGGAGGTATGGACTTTAGAAGAAATGCAGCGGTATAACAATCACCTGCTGGGTTGATTCAGCATATATATTTCATGATCCCATGTTGTTAAATATTTAACTGATTGGGGTTTGGTGAAAAAGGTTGTGTTTAATGGCACAACGGTTCTCTTTTAGCAAAGGATTTCCTGCAGGGAGCTTTCTTATCTACAAGTATGGTCATTGGCAGGAAGCAAGTCAGTTGCTTGTTTTTACAAACTGAAGGAAATGAATGGGATTTGTTGGTTTCTAGAATCTGCCTTCCTTCTCCATTGTCTGTCAAATAGTTTGCTCAGAATTTCTAAAGCGACTCCAAATCTTTGGCATTTCTGTTTATTTATTTTTGACTTTGGGATTAGAAAAATTGGTCATTATTTTATTGTGTACAATTTATTTTACCAATCCAAATGAACAAGATGTTCAATAATATTCTAATTCATTTTCAGTTGTCAGATCTACACATACTCACTGAAGCTGATGTTTTTTGATAGCTATGCCAAATTTCTAATCATTCAGAATACCAAACAAATGCCAGTTTCATGGAGAGGTAAAGGGAGAGAGGCAGCTTCATTCTTTTCTTTGCTTATCAGAAGAAAATTCATAAAGACTGAATGTCAGGTATATCCCTACTTTGCTGATGGCAAAAGATTGGTGTAGGGGGAGAATCAGAAATGGGGGGGCAGTGCTAAATCCAGTGTACAATCCATCTGAGAAAACCAAATCTTAACCTTGAGGAGATTTCTTGCGCAAAACTCTGGATTACTTTTTGGATATCATCAATAAACACATTTAGTTATTTTAATTTGTGTATGTTTCAAACTCTGGAAGAGAAAACAAGGGTGAGCTTCTTTAAAGGAGAAGAAGTACATAAACCTACATTTGAAGGAAACAGCCCTGGGGGGATGGGTAAGAGTGTCTGAGGGAGAGAATGATTTGTTGCAATGGTTTTCACACATTTTTGAAGACATCATTTTTGTTTTATATTTAGCACTGAATGGAATCTTATGCAAGACCTTAATCCATGAGTGGAATAGGAACAGAGCTGTTGGGGGGAACCAAGAATCAGGAGCCCAGAGCCTGATGTCTTCCCCTGGGCTGTGCCTTGGGCTCACCCTAGAACCCTACTACCTCTGTGAAACAGTCTGAAAATCACTGCTTTTAAAGTGTCCAAAATATTCTCTAAAGAAGGCCCAAGGGAATGGCTTGCAGAGCCCCCGGAACCTCTTAGCTGCTGAGAGAACTTTTGCCTTGACAGTTTAAGAGGCGCTTGTGCTCAGAGTGAGTAGGAAAAAGGCACGTACTACAATGTACTTTAATAAGCCAGTGTGTCTTATAGCAAATGATTCGGCTGGCCATAAATATGGCAAAGCCCTGGACCAGTCTCTAATAAGGGAAGGGAAAGGATGTTTTCAGGGGTTACTTACAAACCAGGGCCCCCTTTCCCTATAAGCTATGGGAATATTGCGTAGACATATTTGAGAGTACTTGGTTATGATTATTCCAGAATACATGGATTTATTCTGTTGCTACCTCGGGGTCTGTTATATCACTGTTATTCTTTTTGTCAGTGAAAATTATTTCATATTAAGTGTTGTTCATGAAAGTTTGCCAAGCTATATAATCTGCTTGGCAGACTCAGTCATGTTTTGTGTGTTGAGTAAAATGATAACACACAGATGATATTTGAATATCATCAAATATATTCGCATTATCTCCTCTCGTGCGATTGACTGAAATGGCAGTGTTGTGGTTGGGCTCAGTCCTCCTTGCTCACATCCCAGAGCTACGAGATTTCTAGGGGTGGTGGACAGAGAGATCCCCTTCAGTTGCACTGTGGATTTTCATGACCAGTCGATTCACATGCGCACGGTTATGGAG